TTTTTGTACAAACCGCGCCATACGGGCTCGGTCTGTATAAAAAAGACCTTGGTCCAATATCTCCCTATAGAGACCGAGAAAGCGAGGTCAATCAAAAGTTTAATTAATATATGGCATTTATAGACATTTATACTTGAAACAAACAAGAAATACATGATTTGAAATGCATATTAGTAGTGTGGCATACATTTGGTATAAGAAAACAAAAAATACCAATGTATTCCTTCCTTTCCACTTCTTAAACCATTTGCAGATATCTCATAAAATTGTGGTTTCTCTAGCAACAAGACGTATACAACTGGCTATTTTGCGCATGTATATACTCTCTCATACAACTGTGACACAGCCATAGCTGATGACGTAGTAGAATAACAAATTAAATGATAATTTTCAATCAGTTTTGCTGTTTTGTTTTAAAACGCATGCCGCCGGTCCATTACGGGAAAATACTAGACAACTGAAAGTGCTTCTCAGCCTATCACAGTCTGCCATTTCACCGGAATTGAGGCTTGCCATATAAAAGGGCTGTTAATTAATATTTAGTTATATTGAAATTAATACTTGGAACAGTATATTTTATATGCAATGAGAAAATTTCATCCCTTTCATCCAGACAATCAGCAGCACAGTTGTCCATATGAATGCAAAGTACTGTACAGCACAGCAATATTTTTCTTGTCACTGCGACTGTACAGCTAATCGGACAATTTAATGATTCAATACAAGGATCAAGAAACCAAAGCCTGGTTCACATGATGAAATAAGCATAAGCAAGCGGAACCTTTGATGTAAACATAAGAAGAACAAATGTTGCGTTCTTCTTTTGCTTACGTTTATGCACATGAAAGGTTCCGCTGCTTGTGCTTATGCTTATTTCATCCGTGAACCAGGCTTAAGAGATCCAGCTCATATTCAAAAGAAGTCCAAAGATCAAGTGGGCACTCGTTAAACCAGACCATTGTTCTGGCAATGTTTAATGGTTTAACAAAGTCTGAGTTTATTGAACTTTGTATGCTGTATCTAGAAACAACTTGCATACCGGATCTTGGAGCCAAACATCAGAACTGTGTGGGCCCTGTGGCGGAAATCTTGGTGGGGCGGGGGGGGGGGGGGAAACCC